GAACGGAGTGGGGGGCACTTGGAAACGCCAAGAACTTGGATGGCCGGTGATGGTGATGGCACGGGCGTTGCCTCTCCCTCCCTCTCCCTTAGGAAGTGAGAATCATCTGAGGCTGCGGATGGATGGCAAGTCAGACCAGCAAGACCCGGACACTTGTTGGTTTGTTTCACAAGGTTCGTTGTGGAGTGCGAGGATGTTCGTAAAGGATGAATCGAGAGGGTGCCGGAGTCATTTATAGGCAATTAATTGCATCGCGAAGAAGACTTGTGTGCCTCCAAGTCGTACACGTCTGTTGTTTATTGCAGCTTCTTCTCCGTCCTCGTCTCTAGATACATGTCATGTCAGTCAGGCAAGAAGCTTTATTTCGGCTCACCTCCCTTTCCCCCCACTCCACTCCACTCCACCCCACCCCACCCCGTTCCTGGTTACACCCTTAAATCCAGCTACATCTCTTTCCAGTCGTTATCATTGATTGAAAAAAATTGCAATCTTCATTTTCTAATAAAAAAACTAATACCTTAATTCAGCCAGTCAAAATAGCTTCTGTTTATCCAATTGCCTCTCTAATTGCTCAAGGAAAATCTAGAGAAGAGAAGAAAAATTATGACAATGGGTGGGTTTGGGTGGGGCGACATGGTCCGGGCATGTGGCCTGGAGGACCAAACCAGGGGGCAAAGAATGCGAACTCTCCTCGTCCCTCGAGAGAGAGAGAGAGAGAGAGCTCTGTTAGACTTACGAGGGGAGGGGTTTTTCTTGGCACCACGGATCCGAGTCCAGGATCACTGGATCGACACCATGTTTCGGACGCGACGAACGGGTCAAAGCCTTGAACAAGAATCCAACTCTTCGTGCGGTACGGGGCGCCATTTGCTGAACGTACCACCGAGCTGACACTGCTTCATAATTCCGTTCATCGCCTGTACATCTCCGTCGCAGTCAGCAACATTATTGCCTGCTTCGGAACGTCATTGCCTCGATATCGCCCTATTTCGCAAGTGCATGAAGAGCGATGCAGACGAGATCAATTCGCCCTCCCTCTTATGGATGGCCCCCGAGCGCACAACTCGAAGAACGCCCTCCTTTCTCGTCAATTATTAGAAAATGCAAAAAGAAAAGCATAATCGATTATGTACGTGCAGATAAAAGAGCTTTTTGTAAGGATAAGTTCGAGACCTTTTGACGGATCAAGGCGCAGAACTCTCGGCGACGAATCATTCAGCGCACCTTGCCAAAGAGCAAAATTTCTCCGGGGCAGGGCACAGGGCACAGGGCAAGGTCGAATGGAAAAATTGCTCGTTTCTTTAACTCGCATACAACGCGGAGATAAGATCCAAGAGGAAAGGCCAAAAGCATGAACGAAGAGGCACTGGAAGATGAGGCCGCATCTGGCAGCAGCCCCCTCTCGCTCGAAACCTGAAAAGCGGTGAGCGAGCGAGGCCGTAATGAGACAAAGGCAAAAGCGCGATTACCAGCGCACATGGCGATGTGGATCAAAAGCCTAAAAGTAGGTTAAAGAGTTGTAAACGTACATACTTATGATTGGATAACTCGGTGTCTTCTTTCAGATTTTGCGTATTCTATTCAAGAGGGGGAGGGGGGAGGGGGGAAACGGAGACATTCTCATGCTGGCGACGGGCGCGATTGGCTGACGTTGGAGAAAGCATGGCGGAGGAGAGCCTTGAAGAGGAAATCAGATGTCTCGGTCAGATTTCCCGTCTTCCGCTAATCAGAGAGCGCAGAGTGAAGACATTCTCCCGTGTGCGGAGAGATTGATTGGCTGACTTTGGAGGACGGATGGTGGCGAGTGATGAGATCAACTTGTGGATGGCGCCATTGGCCGAGCCTGTCGTTACACGTTAATTTATGCGGGGATCGATCTAATTAGGGTGGTCTGCTGCCTGATGGGATTGACTTGATGGGGGCTTCGTTCCCAAGTAATTTCATGCCTCGCTCTCTGGCCCCAAGTGGACCTCAACTTGACTCGACTTGACCAGTCCGAGGCGACACAGTGACCTTTACAACCTGTAGTGCAGGATTCTGCCCAAGTTGTGCCATCGCTGAATGGCCAGCATAGTTTACGAGCCCTTCGTCTCCCAATATCGGATTTGCCCGTCACCCGCGCTTCCCACTTCCCACTTCCCACATCCCACTTCCGATTTCATCAGATTATATGTGCTGCTCTTTCCCAGGACCTGGGCCGAGGCTCCTCGTGGGACATTGCAAGATGTCAGCAGCTCATAGCAAAGTTGACATATTCCGTGGGTCAAGAGGGTTGTCAAGTGTCGTGAGAAGACCATGTTTTTATACCACATGAGATATAATCTGATCGCGGCAGTCACCAGGTTGGACCGGATTGGACGAAACCACGAAGCTTTGTTCTGATTACAGAAAGTTCCTCCTTTCTTCAGCCAGTTCTCTTCATTATCAGCGCCTTTGAGCAAGTGTGGAATATCTGACTGGATATCATTGTTACTAGGTCAATGACGTGTTCTCAGCCTCTCCTCGTTTGGAGCAAATAATAAGGTGTTTTGCCAAGACAAAAACATGCCCTTGCTCGTTCGCTAAGGAAAAACAATGTTATTTTATGGAATATAGCTTGGAGTTACATGGAGCTGTAGATGCATAATTTGACGCCTTGGGATCATTCTCTGTGGCATACTTTAGATAACACGTATCAATGGTTCAAAGGCAAGTATTACTCGGTGTAACATATAGACGAATCTCGTGATATATGCAGATAGTTTGACTCGGATATTTTATATATAATAAATGTCTCGTTGTGAGGCTATTGGAGTTATCCCCATCACACACGTTTGGGTTCATCATGGGACTCTTCAAGGGGTCTTCCCATCAGTTTTCATATGTTCTTCGGTGAAGTTTGATAGTAGGAAGGGTTTTATGGTTCGAGTATTCAAAAGCAGCTGGACCCTCCTGCTACGGGCAATGAGATGGAAAAAAGGGCACACCACTTGACGGCATCGTTCCCCAGGACTGCGAGGGTGCAGAAAGGCTGGGATCTAGCATTCGTTAGTGAAGTTCTTAATCAATTTATCTCGGTGCAAGTAAGGTATCGAAGCTCACAGATCAGATTTGCCAAGATCGAGGAATCTACGCTGTTGCCTTCCCTTTGATTCCCCGTCGCAACATCCCAGGGATTATACTATGCAAGCCGATATAGACGATTGTAGTGACTCGATGTTCGTCCCAGATAGCGCTGAGCCTTGATCCCAATGTTCGAGCAGCGCCACATCAATCTTCCAGCTCGTCTCATACACATCGCCAAATTTACTCCCACGTAAGGAGCAGCAGCTCGAAATCACTCAGGCACTCACTCACGGACGTTACCCGAGCACCCGGAAAGTTGAATGGATTTTACCCGAAGCTCACGAGTCACGACCCTAACCGATCGGGAAACCCTAACCGGCTCAAACGAGGGGCCGAAGCAAGAGTTTCTCGAAAAGATTCCGATCCAAAATTATCGGAGGCCCTAGGGGCTCTTAAGATGGGGGAGACCTTATTCCGACAGCGACACGTGTAACAAAGTCAAAGATTTATTTCGAGGAATTTCGGTCAGATTCTCTGAGTCTCCCAGGTGCCTGTTTGTGTCTGCCGTAAAACTGTCCACATTCCGGCAGCCGTGAATTCGTACAGTACATACAACAGCCAGAGGATCATGTTATCATGACGTGGTTGCCTATTTACTATCACTAAAGCCAAACCCGTTCCGGTTTCGGAGTTCCTTAACCAACAGAAAAGGCTGCGCTGCCGCCATTCCTAAAGGACACGTGTAAATGACTGCGGTGTCTTTAGCGAGCCTATGCCGCTCCCTCTGAATCGAGGGCCAGAATCATCAGCCGAGCACTCTACCTCGCAGGATCGCGATTCTCGACCGTCGATTTTTCCCGACTGCTGTCCCTCCCTTAACCCACAGGGAGCACGCTTTGCTAAGAGCACCATCCGTGGTTACCCATGGGCCTTCCGATGGTGGATCTGACGCCTTGAAAGCACCTATATATTATTTCTGTAGAGCAACTGCAGGGCATTACGTAGTCCCCAAGTAAAACGCGCGAGTACAGCGCTTTGGCTGAAGGATTTAGCTGTAAAGTCATACCAGGTCCTTGAGCGGTGACGTTGTCTTCAGAGGAGAGAGCTACTCCTACTCCTCCTCCTCCTCTCTCTGTCGAACGTGTAGGTGAATATTTGATAATTTCCAAATGTATCCAAACCCTCCCCCATCTTCCTCTCCCCAGAGAAAACAACAGCGGATCCGATCCTCCGCAAAATTTCTAAAAACTTTAAAAAGGAAAAAAAGGAAAATTTAATAATAGTGTAGGTGAACATTTGATATTTTTCCAAATGTATCTAAACCCTCCCCCATCTTCCTCTCCCCCGAGAAAACAAGAGCGGATACGATCCTCCGCAACATTTCTTAAAAAAAAACAAAAAAAAAAACGGAAAATTTTATAATAGTCTCGTAGATGTTGAGAAAACGTTGAATATACGGGGCGGATGCACTTTTTTCGAAAAAATAATGTATAAAAAAAACCTGTTAGGACATTGAACGGATGTGCGGCAGCGAGCCAAATGCCAAAGGTGCATAGCCCCTGGAAAAAAGGATAGAGGGCAAACTCATCCGCATTCAGGGGGGAGCTCACGATTTGGGAATTTCCACTGAATCGAAGCCGCAGGCTAAAGATATTGGGAGCTCGGGGATTTGACTATTTTGAGAAAGATGTGTGACTTCTAAAAGAGGAGGAGGAAAAATAAAGGCAGTGTTGTCAAAGCGAGCTGTGGGCATTAAAGCACAAGGAAACAAAGGGATAGATAGACCCATGATGGGGTGTCTCACGGAAAGGTAAATAAAAGGTTCAGAGATTTGTGGGGTCGAAGCTCTGTAGGCCCCCCCACAGGCCCCCAGAGCGAAGAGAAGACGAGAGCATTCGATACATGGACCCACTGATGGAGAACATCTGACATATCCCACAAACTGAGAGGGGAGAGAGATGTTCTTGGGTTTGGGAGAAGAGAAGAGAGGGAGGGAGAGGGACGGAGGGAGGGACGGGGCACTGAGGGCGAACAGCACAGCACAGCAAATGAAAGCGAGTGGGAGGAGAGGAGAGGAGTGAAGGCGAGGTGAGGTGAGGTGTTGCTGGTATGCCATTGCACGAGAGCAGGAGGAGGAAGTTGTCGGGAAGGTTGGAGTGCCAAGGGGAAGAAAAGGGAAGGCGAGGAAGAATCGTCAGGAGAAGGTGGCCTAGCAACTGCTGGTTGTTGTTTGCTTGCTGGCTCAAGAAGCAAGGAGATTGGATTCTAGATGTCATTGAGCTAGAGAGAGCGCAGTTGGACAAGGGGTGTTTTGTGTCTGCTTCCACTTGACTCGTCCCCCATAATTCAGCCTGCTGCCTGGCGATTGGTCGTCGCGGGCCCTAAAGCGTCCCTCTCAGCGTTTTATAAATTTATCCTACGTCGCCCGACTCTGATAGAAAGCTGCCGCTCCGAGTTGCGAGAGCGATCAATTTCCGGTGAATGCGAGTGAAGTGAGTCAACCGAACCGAGAGCAGGTTTTTCGAACGTAGACGTTTGTTGCTCTGTCCCTCGACACTTGTTAGAGATTGTTGCAATTTTGACCGCCCAGTCAGTTCCGTTTGCTCGTGCACTGACTCAGAAAGAGCTCGCGAGGGAAAAGGATCCAGCTCGTAGATTCGAGGCCGATGCCCCGGACGAAAAAGTAAGGAGAAGACCGCAGTTGCGTTTCAGATTCGAACTCACCATCGGAAGCGTGCGAGTAGTAGGGACGACAGGTTCTTTGAGATTTTGCAGCATTAGGAGGCAGGGCCGGTTCACTGCGATTGAAAATTGTAGATTTCTGGAGGGCATTGCTCATGGTTCAGCACACTTCTCACTCGAGCTTGACCCAATCCTTCTGAACCCACTCCAGCTCCAGTCCAGCTCCATTCCATCCACGAGACTCGAGCTCTGCTCCACCTCCCGCAGCCATAGGTTCGTTCAATTTGTTCAGGCATTCTGGCAGCAGCAGAATAGCGATGGCGAACGATCGCAGGCAGGTGAAGGTGGCGCTCACCCGCCAGCCCTCAGGCAGCATCCCGCGCCCGCCCCCAATGGGCGGGGGGATTGCGCGCCAGCTCAGTGGCGAGGTCGCGGGCTCAGTGCCGATGAAGCCTGCCTCGGCGCCCTCATCGCCTGCCGTGGGCCGCAAGCGCAGCGCGGCCACGGCTGCAGCATCTGATAGCACCTCGTCCGAGAGCAAGGAGATGGGCGCAGGCCAGCAGCAGAGCGGAAGCAAGCCGAGCGGCAGGCAACGCCGAGGCGGACCTGAGAACGGGAACCACACCTTCAGAGGCGTGAGGCAGCGGCAGTGGGGGCGATGGGTCGCGGAGATCAGAGAGCCCCGATGCCGAACACGAATGTGGCTGGGCACCTTCGCCACGGCCATCGAAGCTGCGAGGGCCTACGACGATGCAGCTCTCACGTACCACGGGCCCGGAGCTCGTCTCAATCTGCCGCAATCGCAGCCCTCGGCCAACTCCACGGCGACCTCGGCCGTGGCCCCTCATCCCATGTCTGGCCTGGCGAGGTCGGCTTCTTGCAACGTCGGGAATTACTGCACCAGCGATCCCCGCGAGATGCCAGGCTCCATGCTGCAGCGCACCTCGTCCGGCCCGGCCAATCTGTTGATGCGCACCAGCTCGAGCCCTGCGCAGTGCGCCGCCATGGCAGTCGACTCCGGCGCCATGTTCTCCTCGTACGCTTCGGACCTGCGAATTGAGGAGAAGGCCGCGAAGAAGATGTACGTGCCCAGTGCTGCGGCCGCCGCTGGGATGTTCGCAGGATCCGCGCCCGGCGCCATGAGCGAGTCCCCGCAGACTGTGTTCGTTAATGGGGCTTTGGATCGCTACGACATGGGCACCAAGTTCGTCGGCGCCCCCGTGAAATCGGAGCCCGTTTCTGATTTCCCCGCAGTGTACCAGTCGGTCGGCTCCAACGCCTCGAGCTCGATGATGAATCACGCCTCCTTCGGTGACATGTTCGGGGGCGATTTGGGAGCCGTGGTCTCGCAGCAGCAGCACAGCGCTCAGAATTTGAGGACCCCGAAAGTGGAGCAGAATCTGCGAGCGGATGCGCCCTCGTCCGCGTCCACATCCATCTCGTCCGTGAACACGGTCGGGGCCGGAGTGCTGGGCAATTGTGGGAGCGACGAGGGATCGCCCACTTCGTTCTGGACGATGGATTCCGACTCGAAGTTCGATGGCAGTTGCGTGAGCACGGATTGGCTGCAGCATGTGCTGGACCAGCAAGGGCCTCCTGCTCCTGTCACCAGCACCAGCGCATCCAGCATGCTGACATCCAGGTTAGGGTCGCTGGAGAAAGCGGAATTGGGGCCTTGGGACATCGACATTTGTTCGCCACCACCCACTCTCGACCTTCCCCTCGAGGAGTCGCTGCACTTTGATGACGACTTTTTGTCCGGGCAATTATTCCAAGAACGCAGTATGCAGTACGAGCTGTTGTAGCGAGGGTAAACATCCAAGTGGAGCACACTGAATCCTCGAGAGCTGCAGTTCGCATTCAGCTGCACGCATGGCCGGATTCGCACGCGAGTTTCGGCTTGGATGTTCCCGCATATCTTTGTAGTTAGTCCGATGTACATATACGTAATATACAAGTAACATTAATGTAGGTAGAATGTCAGAGCCTCGAGCTCGCACTAGAACACAAGAAGCTAGCATTGTGGACCAGATTTGTCTTTGGAAAGGGTTCGGCCAAAGAGTGAATCTGACAGGAAGTGGATATGAGTACCTATCACAAGTAGATGTGGGTATCGCAACCGATGGGCAATACGATTATTCGATACACAAGAGAAACCCTTTTGGGGAGCACACAAGCAACTTTTACGTTACACGATGCGGATAGGATCTCAAACTTTGTGTTTCTCCAGATATACATTTCTATGATTTTGGCCGCTCGTTCAAGGAGACCATCAGAGTGCCGAAACGATTTTGAATTCATTCCAGCGCGTGAATGCAATTCTTCACGACTAGCATTCGCTTTAGCTAGCTTTGTAGAGTACATTAGGTTAAGACGTCTCAGTCGGCTTAAATTTTGGGGTCCCTCTAAGTCGAATTGTGGCACACTTTTACTATAAATTGAGATCATTTTTTACTCGACTTGCAGTCTTTTGCCTGTGATGAGTCTGAACTCTGTCCACGTCCCAGGCATTGCTGATACGCCATGGTACGATGAAAGTCTCATCGATACGTCACGAAATCTCGATCTTGCATTGGAACCCTTTTTAATCAACGACTTTTATAAACGCGACCCTACGTCGAGTCGATTACTTTTGCCCTAACTCGATTCGTAATTCGTGAGGTTTTGAACTCTCACCTTACGGATTATCTGGTCAAGACTGGGTCGATAGTGGGGATGAATTTTGGTCGTAATAGCTGTTCCCAGCACAGACAGACAGAGCGAGCTGTGTTCGATCTGCCGACTAAACTCAACAACCTGACATCGAAAAATCTCTACGAAGTAGCTGGTGAATCAATCAATCTACATGTGAAAATCGAAGGAACACCTCGAACGATATGATATCGAATATTGCGGAGCTATCAGAGAGCAGCAAGACTCTTCTGAATTTTGGCCGAATAAACTTGACCATTAAGTTTTCGCGCCAGGTTATCACAGAGAATGTATCTTTTTCTCATGAAGACTGAAAACGATGAATACTCAGATCCATGGCTTCTCTTGCTTCCTTATGCATTGCAGCGGTCATAAGAGTCGAACGTAGTACTTACATGTGGCTTACGTCGTGGCAGTAACATCGTTATCCAAGAATTCTTATAAAGTTGCACCGTTGATGGATGATTGTTGCAAAGGTCACATCAGAAACATGTTCTCAGAACCCGATTCCCAAATCAATTGACTTATTTCACTTTGTGAGGATGAATTCAGTCCCATTCGAGTAAGTGTCCACGTACGGCAGAAAGTGAGGTTTAATCCGCAGTTTCATGGGAATTTCTCTGGGACTAGATTCTAACCGAATTGCAGGACAGCCGAAGGCGTCGCTTGCAGATCTGTGTACGGCGGAGAGACCAGCAGGCAGACCACGAGGATGAGTTCAGAATAAAGGCAAAATGCTGTTTGTTTGCCACTCCGTGAACAGTGGGCGGCCCGTCACCCATTGTAGGATGAGCTCGGTCGGAGTCATCGTTCGTGTCACACCAGGTCTCCAAGGAAGAGACAGGAAAGCGAGAGAAGCAGATTTACGTGAGACGAACGTCTCAACCAACTGGCGATCAAGTGGCGAGACCAAAACTGTTGCCCGGGAGCACGAAGTTGGGAGCCTGAGATAATTATCAGCGTCGTCTGGTTTGCAGGCAAAAGGGTGAAATGCCGGCAACGTGTGATGGACAGATCCACGTGTAGCATGGGGCTACGATCATGACCTTCCGCTGTCTTCGTTGCGTCAAATCTAGTAGATATCCTTTTGAGCGACAACTCACTGTCTGCTTACGCAGGTTGAGAGGTGCTGAGCGAGCGCCTTCTGTTTTGGGTCCCAATCTGGCACCTGGATCCATTCCCCAGAGGACTTTCTCGGGGGCTAGTTTGCGACAGCTTGCCTGCTCCATACGTGGTTCCGAGGTTCACACATTTGCACTGCAGAAGCTAAGATGAGTCCTGTGTACATTTCTTAAACACTGATGGGACGGCCTTTGTCTCTTCTTTCATGAGGGCGCCGTCTTGTGTGCAGTGGAGGGTGGTTTCAGAATATATTGTTGTTGGCGGGGACCAGTCCGCCTACTGTTTGTTGACCATGAAGCCATCGAGAGCAGCTTCGACAACATCCGATCCGTGACTTGCTTCAAGGTGAAGACTCGATTTGCTTCATGTTTCAGTCATCGAGTAGCTTGCGATCGCCCACCACATCCAGCGTGCAAATCGGACTCGATGTCCCATAAATATCCGGCGTTCAGAGAAGTAAGCAGCAGCTGCATCAGCACCCGCTTAGCAGACCCGAGGCTCGTAACATCGTCGCAGGTTGAGCAACGAATCCACGTCCTGATCCTAATCATCAGAGGTACAAGGAACATGGCCATGGGATGGACATGGTTCTAAAACCCGCCCCACAATGATAGATGCAGCTTAAATATCTGATTATGATCCGGTTGAACGGACTCAGACCTCCCGGGACCGTGGTTGGTCCGGACCGCGAAGAATTATTAAAAGTCTAAAACAACTCGAGACTCTTCGACTTTGGTGTTGCCAGAACGACTCCACTTGTGAGCTTGTATCTATCTTCCCAGCCTTTGTAGGACAAGGACCTCGCAAAACCGCAGTAGTACCTGAGATCGATGATGAGATGTGCTGACCCATTGGTATGAGCTTCGACTCAGAGTCCAGTTTGCCCTCTGATCAATGCACGTGACGTCAAAACGTCGATGACCAGCAGCTGCCTTCCTTTCGCTCAAACCAAGAAAAGCATAACGATCATTTCATTTGGGCTATCAGAATCAGATCCGTCGGGGCATCCATCAAAGTGCATAGCCTACATTCATCCTCGCCTCTTGCTCTCGTCGTCGCGCCAGGTGCCGGCGAGCTACCATCTCCGACTCGAATGATGGCGTGACAAGTTCCGCAACTCTCTGAGGTCAAGAACCGGGTCTTGTTATTGAGCGTCCTCTCGGACTCGGACGCCACCTGCGGCCACGTCCTTCTTGTATATAAATACCCCGCGCACCAACGTGGCGGCTGCGCGGCGCATCTACTGTTTTGCGCTGCCTTCTTCGTACAGCTCCCGTATGTTTATGTGCCATCGTCCCCTTTCTCTTCTCGCTTTCTTCAACCGCGTCCCCCTTCTCGCGCAGCTGGCAGCGTCGTTCGTCGCTAACTGCGGTCGCGTCCACTGACGGACACCTAGCGGTCCGCTGCAGCATATCACTTCAGACGACCAGGCTAACTAACCAACAACAGCTCAACCGGTTTCATCTCGCGTCGCATTATATCTTGACATCCATCTCTCTTGTATTTGGCTCGTTTTGCAATTGCAAGCGTCTGAGCTGCAGCATATAACTCCAGACAGACGACCAGGCTAACTAACCAACCACAGCTCAACCGGTTTCATCTCCCGTCGCATTATATCTTGACATCCAACTCTCTCTGCTTACTGCTTACGACACTGGCTCCATGTAACCAGCAGCTGCAGCAGAGTTTTCTATATAGCAGTAGTTACGAGCGAACAATCTGCATGAGCCATCGCTGAACTGTTAATTGTGTCACCGTATACTCAATCGATCTAACAGATAGATACGTACACATCAAAGAGATCACTCCTGCAAAACATAAAAGCTTCAGACTGTTCATACTCTAAGTTAAGTTTCATGACCCTGTTGCAGGTTAATCCCATCGCAATTTTCTAGTTGACTTGGACAAAATGATTATAAGAACAATAATTGACGTGTAAGCAACTCAGCAATTACCTGAATAACACGAACATATGGATTTTGAATTTTTCCTCGTACCTTTCAAAGTGATGGGCGGGTGGGTGGAGATCGATATCAGCCACAGTGATAGTTGTTTAAGTGTTTCTCCTCAATGATTTCTTCTGACAGCAATATCTTTGACATTGGTATTCATGGCCTTGTGTATTCTTGAGCCAAATACATACGAAAAGTAATAACATATGCCACCACTTGTTGAGTATTTTATATATGCGCCCCATAACAACAACGGGACCAAAAGCTGCGGGTACAAATCTCCAGTAGACAGGTCCTGAAGAAACGTGGGGCAACATTGTACGATTGAAAGTTGCTTGAGAAATACTAGCTTCGTTGTTTTTGGGTTTCTGGGCAATAAGTTACGCTTTTGAATTTGGCAAATAACCTCAGGAAGGTGCGCAAATAATAACATAATGACATCAGGTACGCCAGTGGCTTGGCTTGACTCTCGAGGTTTGCGTTATTCATCACAAAATATTTATTGTAGCGGCATCATAGAGTGACACGTGGCTGTTTTTTTTTATTCGCAATGCACCTACAGAAATTGCCTTATTCGAGTATGTTAAACTATTTCCAGCAAGACTTTTTGTGTATAATATAGTGATAGAGGTGAATGGCTTAATCAGTAACTAAGGTACAACTGATTGACATCCATAAGTAAATGAGAACGAAGCACTATTTTAATTATTCTTTAATTTTGTGTAAGTTTTTCCATCTTTTTCTTTGTATGGAACATAATAGATTACATTATTAGGTATTCTCACTGTATACACACAAAAAACGGAAGTCCTAGATAGGTTGGTTCAATTTTCATTTATTCTATTGTAAGTTGTTATGCATGTGCTTCTCTTCTTATTTTTGTGTTCTTGTCCTGCATTACTTGAATGGCATAGAGAAACTTGCGTATCAAGGTTCTCTTTCTTTCTCTCTCTCTATATGAATAATTGTTTGCCAAATATTTTCCATCTCATGTTTTGAAATACAATAAACGGTAGATTAACGGAAGTGCTAGCTGATATGCAGCTTGAAAATAATAAAACGTCTATATCACTATGTTTGAAACTATCAACTCATAAGTATGCTGATCAGCACAAAAATAACTCTTCAAGTTTATAGGAATTTTTGGAATAGCTTCAGTTGGTAAAGGTCAATAAAATTGATTTACTGTTTGGATTTTTAATATTTTACAGCATTACGGAATTAGAGAAATAACCGATTCAAAGACAATCTATGAGAATTATGTCAAAGACAAAGTAAAAATTTTGTAATTTTTTAGTAATTCATACATAAGTGAAGTGCATGAAAAATATGAGGAAAACGATATGTATTCTATGAAACCAATCATGAAGAAGATGAGAAGAAATCATTTATAAGATGTAGATGAACATTATATTATATGCTTTAAGTAAGGTATCACATTTCCTCATGATGATTATAGTCTCATGATTCTTTTATGAATACTTAGATTATTAAATTAAAATTTGTTTAAATAATAATAATAATATTATTATTATCATATTTGAGTTATTAGTACATATAAAATCTAAGTCAGATTTTTTTATGAATATTTCTAGAAAATAATACATCAATACTTATTTTGAAATATTACTTTATCAATTCTTGTACTATCGTAAAATTTTCAAGAAAGTAGAAAAAGTCTTCACGTCAACGTTTAAACTTATATCATTATTTTAATTTGAAAGGATTGATTGATTTAGTTAAAATAGTTTAAAGGAT